TGGATTGAAATTGTTGAAATTTGTGTATTGTTGAATTGAAATTGTTGTTCTTTGAGTATTGTCGAAATCTGAAATCTAATGATGAGATTCTTTCAAAGAAAAAGGGACTTGGAGAACGCAAATGTTGATGGGAGGATCCCGGGGACGTCGAATAATATTGTTTTATACTTTTATTATCATTGCATTCATGACAAAAATTCGACGTTAAACATCGATAAGTTGTGCCCCACCTGAGAAGAAATCCTGGCTCCGCCCCTGGTTGGTCAGCACCTGCTACTCTCTCTCTCTCTCTCTCCCTTCCTTCTGATTTTTCCTTACCCAATTGAAAAATGGACCCATTTTCCTTTTATATTAATAGATTAATATTGTATAATTGTATGTCAAGTCCTTAATCTTAATATAATATAACTTTCAGCCATTTAACTTTAACAGTTTTGATTTAATGCCCGCGGTGGGCATAGGTTATAATGCCCAATATTGCCACGTGGCAACATCGGAGATTGCCACACCCACAATGTTGCCGGAGGTTGCCACGCCCACGGTGGGCATTATAACCCATGCCCGCCGTGGGCTATAGATCATTTCTGTTAACTCAAATAATAGAAATTAAATCTCTAGATTCCTTTATTATATTACATGTAACTCTTAAGTACAAGTAATTGTAAAATAGCCCTATGAAAATTATTTATTTAACTAAAGTCCTCATTTGTCTTTGATTTGACCAAACACTTTCTTGATTTGACTAAAAATAAGTAGGGTGTAATAATCTTACCCCTTAAAAAGAATTTCGTCCTTGAAATTCAATCAACTAGGATTCGAAGACATTAAGATATAGAGTACACATCTGATCCTTGTTCTCTCGTGTAGCCTCTTCTACTTCATGGTTCCTCTAAAGGACTAAAACTAGTAGACTTGGCAAAACTTCTTACCTGGAGTCTTGCATTTCCTACTTTTTCTAACTCGAGCTCTCTCTTTTCTTTGTCTTTTCTAGAATATAATATCCTCCTCCAAACAACTTGAAGTTAAAAAAAAATTACAGATTTTATCTGAATGTATTTGAACAACATAATGGGTTGATAAATATGATCAAAATTTTAATTCAAGCCACCGACTTCACGATGTATCCTTAAGACGAATTTGCTCTTTTCAGTGGTGCTAAAAACGTTAATGGTCTCCTAGAATAGAACGAATTTCGTCTCCTACGGAAGCAGCACAACAATCTACATGAGTTCCAACAAATTAAAGAAATGTTTATACTCCAGAAAACAGTACAAGAATTTAAGAGAGAGAATGAGATTCAAAGTAGAGAATGATTACCATGAAAATTGTGTAAATTTTCTGGCAACAAGCAGGCTAATTATAGATTAGTTTGTGGCCATTCGAACACACTTCGAGCCTTTTTCGAACAGTCATCACTGTTCAGACAACCCTTTAAAACCCGAACAGACAGCTCTGTTCAGATTGAAACATTGTGTCTATTAAATATGTTAGCAGAGTCTGTAAACTAGATTAACAAACAATCCAGACCAAAAAAAGTCCACATAGGAAAAAAAAAATACTGTTTAAAATAATTTT